GGTGGCACACGCCAGTCATCCCAGCTGCCCAGGAGGAGGAGGTTGCAGTGAGGCGAGATCGCACCACTGCACTCCAGCCTGTGCGACAGAGTGAGACTCTATCTCAAAAAAAAGAAAAAAACTCCCAAACCCGAATAGTATCTTCTAGTGTTGTAGAATAAACAACTGTACCAGGCAGCCCAAGGGAAGAGGCAGCATGAGTAATAATCTCCCTCCCTTTTTGTGAGAATGCATTATGTTCCACAGATCACCCTGGTAGACTTCTGCTTACTTCTCAGTGGCCAGAGCTTGGTCCCATGGCCACTCCTAGTTGCAGGGTGGTCTGGGAAAGCACGTGCTTAGATTTTTCAACCTCTGTAGAGGGGTACAGGCATAGAGGAGGGGACTGGGAATAACTGGTAGGTTTTAGCCGACCTGTAGCGACTGCTGTAAGCATCCAAATGGGATATTGATTCAGTCAGGGCATTCATGCATGCAAGTGATAGAATCCCAACTTAAACAGGCTTAAGTGGGAAGAAAAGAAGAATTTGTTCTATTAAGGAGAAAACTGCAGAAGTGCTTCAGATCTGGCTGCATCCAGGACCTCAGTGATGTCATTAGGGATCTGTCTTTGTCTCTCAGCTGTTCTTCCTCCACCTTAGAGTCCTTGGCAGGTCCCTCTCATGCCCGTGTATAACTCCGGGCTTATATCCTACCTGCCTGGCACCTCTCCCCAACTCCCAAAGCTGCTTTTAGCTTCTCTTACCTAATACCTTTAGTTAAATTATCAGGTCTATCTCTCATTGGCCTGGTTTTGGTCATTTGCTCCTTTCTGACCAATTGCAGCTTTGGCCAGAGGGATGCACTGCTCTGATTGGCCAGGTCTGGGGCACGTGATCAATTACTGCTGAGCTAAGGTAGTGGACTCTGCCCTGCCCAATGCCAGTTACTAAGACGAGGGGTTGTCTCTTGAGGGAAACTTGGGGGCCAGGATTACTAGATGGGCAAACCAACAGGTATCCACTACAAGATTACAGTCTATCAAACTCTCCTCAAGGAAGCTTCTCTGGAAGCTTCTCCTCAAGGAAGACCCTCTTCCTGAGGTCTAAGGGTCTCCCTTAAAAATTTTTTTCCAGGAGGGGCACAGTGGCTCATGCCTGTAATCCCAGCACTTTGGGAGGCCAAGGAGGGTGGATCATGAGGTCAGGAGTTCGAGACCATCCTGACCAACATGGTGAAACCCCATCTCTACTAAAAATACAGATAATTAAGGTGGGCGGATCACAAGGTCAAGCGTTTGAGACCATCCTGACCAACATGGTGAAACCCCCTCTCTACTAAATATATAAAAAATTAGCCAGGCCTGATGGCGCATGAGTGTAATCCTAGCTACCCTGGTGGCTGAGGCAGGAGAATCGCTTCAACCCAGGAGGCAGAGGTTGTGGTGAATTGAGATTGTGCCATCGCACTCCAACCTGGGCGACAAGAGTGAAACTCCATCTCAAAAAAAAAAAAAAAAATTAAAAAAACATTTTTTTGAAATATTTTTTAAAAAATTTGTTTATTATTATTTTTTTAGAGATAGGGTCTCACTCTGTTACCTAGGCAGTCATTCAGAGGTATAGTCATGGCTCTTGCAGCCTGAACTCCTGTGTGCAAGTGATCCTCCCAGTTCAGCCTCCCAAGTGGCTCATGCCTGTAACCCCAGCACGCTGGGAGGCTGAGGCAGGAGAATGGCTCAAACCTGGGAGGTGGAGGTTGCAGTGAGCTGAGATCCCGGTACTGCACTCCAGCCAGGGTGACAGATCAAGACTCTGTCACACACACACGTGCACACACAAATATATATATATTTATATTATATATATATTTATATTATATATATTATATAATAAATGATATATATTACATATTATATATTTTGTATATGTAAAATATATATTATATATATTAAAATATATTATATATAATATATATGTTAAATATATATATATATATATATATATATATATATATATATACACACACATTTTTTTTTTGTAGAGCTAGGGTCTCACCATGTTGCCCAAGCTGGTCTGGAACTCCTGGGCTCAAACGATCCTCCCTCCTTATTCTCTTAAGTGCTGGCATTACAAATGTGAGCCACCAGGCCTGGCTAATTTTTTTTGCTACTTTGAGAGAGACAGGGTCTTGCTGTGTTGCCCGGGCTGGTCTTGAACTTCTGGCCTCACGTGATCTTCCTGCCTAGGCCCCTCAAAGTGCTGTGATTAAAGGTGTTAGCTACTTCACCTTGCAAAGGATCTTCTTTTGTTTTGTTTTTTTTTGTTTATGAGACAGTCTTCCTCTCTTGCCCACAATGGAGTGCAGTGGTGTGATCTCAACTCACTGCAACCTCCACCTCCCGGGTTTAAGCCATTTTCCTGCCTCAGCCTTCCGAGTAGCTGGGACCATGACTGGCTAACTTTTGTAATTTTTTTTTTCTTTTTGAGACAGAGTCTTACTCTGTTGCCCAGGCTAGAACACAGTGGCACAGCTCACTGAAACCTCAAACTCCCGAGTTCGAAAAATTCTCCTGTCTCAGCCTCCCAAGTAGCTGGGATTACAGGCGCCTGCCACCGCGCCCAGCTAATGTTTGTATTTTTAGTAGAGATGGTGTTTCACCATCTTGGCTAGGCTGGTCTCGAACTCTTGACCTCGTGATCCACCTTCCTCAGCCTCCCAAAGTGCTGGGATTACAGGCATGAGCCACTGCACCCGGCCCAATTTTTGTACTTTCAGTAGAGACAGGGTTTCACTATGTTCGTTAGGCTTGTCTCCAACTCCTGGCCTCAAGTGATCCACCTGCCTCTGCCTCCCAAAGTGCTGTGATTACAGGTGTGAGCCACCATGCCTGGCAGAGGATTTTCCTCTGGGACAAACACTCACAGGATGTCAGTGTCAGGGCTGGCAATTGTCCGTTAACCCCTCCTGTCTGAGTAACTTCTTTCTCCACCTGGACCGTGGTTCCAGGAAGATCAGATGCCCTGCCTTCTGGATTTCCCACCTCTCTAAGGCCCCTGGGATGGTACCCATTCGGTGCCCAGATAGGGTTTGGTGATGACTGAATTCTTGTTTTTTTTGGGGATGGAGTCTTGCTCTGTCACCCAGGCTGGAGTGCAGTGGTGCGATCTTGGCTCACTGCAACCTCTGCCTCCCAGGTGAAGCAATTCTCCTGCCTCAGTCTCCTGAGTAGCTGGGATTACAGGCACACGCCACCATGCCCGGCTAATTTTTTTTTTAGACGGAGTTTCACTCTTGTTGCCCAAGCTAGAGTGCAATGGTGCAATCTCGGCTCACCGCAACCTTCTCCTCCTGGGTTCAAGTGATTCTCCTGCCTCAGCCTCCCGAGTAGCTGGGATTATAGGCATGCACTACCATGCCCAGCTAATTTTGTATTTTTTTTTTTTTTTTTGAGATGGAGTTTCGCTTTTGTTACCCAGGCTGGAGTGCAATGGCGCGATCTCGGCTCACTGCAACCTCCGCCTCCTGGGTTCAGGCAATTCTCCTGCCTCAGCCTCCTGAGTAGCTGGGATTACAGGCACGCACCACCATGCCCAGCTAATTTTTTTTTTGTATTTTTAGTAGAGACGGGGTTTCACCATGTTGACCAGGATGGTCTCGATCTCTCGACCTCGTGATCCACCCGCCTCGGCCTCCCAAAGTGCTGGGATTACAGGCTTGAGCCACCGCACCCGGCCGCTAATTTTGTATTTTTAGTAGAGACAGGGTTTCTCCATGTTGGTCAGGCTGGTCTCGAACTCCTGACCTCAGGTGATACGCCTGCCTTGGCCTTTCCGAAGTGCTTAGATTATAGGTATGAGCCACCATGCCTGGCCTAATTTTTGTATTTTCAGTAGAGACAGGGTTTCACCATATTGGTGAGGCTGGTCTCGAACTCCTGACCTTATGATCCATCCGCCTCCAGCCTCCCAAAGTACTGGGATTACAGGTGTGAGCCACCACGCCCAGTCTCAGGGTTTTTTTATACACCTCTTCCTTTTGCTCCTTCCCAGAATCCACAAACACGTCAGAGCTGCGGATTTGCCGAATCAACAAGGAGAGCGGACCGTGCACAGGTGGCGAGGAGCTCTACTTGCTGTGTGACAAGGTGCAGAAAGGTGAGGGGCCTGGGGCAGCAAGCTGGGGCAGAGTGGGGTCTGGCAGCTCGGAGGGGTAGCCAGGGAGCCCGGGAGGGTGAAAGGATGAGAAAGAGCAGGTTAAGTAAGGCACCAGAGAGCAAGGGTCCAGAACTCTGTCTTTGCAGTCAAACAGACCTAGCTGATGGGTTCATTCATTCCCTGAGTGGCCTGCTCACCCGTCTGTGTAGGAAGGTGGAAGTTCGTCTGTGGTGGCCCATGCTGCATGCTAGGCAGTGCCATCACAGAGCTCACGACATGTCCAGAGGACTGTGAGGTTAAGGGTGGAATTGCGTAAATAAACGGTTTATGATGCTTGTGATAAAGGCTATGAGTAAAGCGAACAGAGGACAGGAGAAAACAGAGGACGGGAGAAGCCGCTCCAGCTCACTCACATCTGTTCAAATGTCCCTTCCTTAAAAGCAGCTCAGGTGCGGTGGCTCATGACTGTAATCCTAGCCCTTTGGGAGGCTGAGGCGGGCAGATCACTTGAGCTGAGTCTGGGCAACATGGTGAAACACCGTATCTACTAAAAATACAAAAATTGGCCAGGCACAGTAGCTCATGCCTGTAACCCCCGCACTTTGGGAGGCCGAGTCAGGCAGATCATCTGAGGTTGGGAGTTCAAGACCAGCCTGGCCAACATGGCAAAACCTCATTTCTACTAAAAAACACAAAAATTAGCTGGGTGTGGTGGCACACGTCTGTAATCCCAGCTACTCGAGAGGCTGAAGCAGGAGAATTGCTTGAACCTGGGAGGCCGAGGTTGTAGTGAGCCGAGATTGAGCCACTGCACCCCAGCCTGGGTGACAGAGTGAGACTCCCTCTCAAAAAATAAATAAAGTAGTGCCTGCTTCGGCAGCACATACACTAAAATTGGAACAATGCAGAGAAGATTAGCACGGCCCCTGCGAAAGGATGACACACAAATTTGTGAAGCGTTCCATATTTTAAAAATAAATAGCCGGGCGCGGTGGCTGAAGCCTGTAATCCCAGCACTTTGGGAGGCCGAGGTGGGTGGATCATGAGGTCAAGAGATCGAGACCATCCTGGTCAACATGGTGAAACCCCGTCTCTACTAAAAATACAAAAAATTAGCTGGGCATGGTGGCGCATGCTTGTAGTCCCAGCTACTCAGGAGGCTGAGGCAGGAGAATTGCCTGAACCCAGGAGACGGAGGTTGCGGTGAGCCGAGATTGCGCCATTGCACTCCGGCCTGGGTAACAAGAGTGAAACTCTGTCTCAAAAAAATAAATAAATAAATAAATACAATACAATACAATACAATACAGGAACTGGTTCCAGAGATACCTAGTAACTTCCTTAAGTTATAACAGAGTTAGCAGTGAAGAGATCTAGCCTTCCTGGGTTCCCATCTTGGCTCTAACACTTGCTGGCTGTGTGACCTTGGACAAGGCACTTCACCTCTCTGTGCCTTTTTCTTCTTTATATAATAGGGTACCTAATGGTACCTTCTTCATAGGGTTGTTGTATGACTTAGAGGCAATCTGTATGGATCTGACACATATAAAGCCTCAGTACATGGAGTCACTGTGCTGACAGGCAATGCAGTAAGACAAGGAAAATCAACAGCAGGGAGAGAAGCATCGTGAATCCTGACTCTTCTGCCACCAGCTGTGTGAATTCTCAATGCTTTAAGCCTCAGTTTCCCCCTGGCTTTTTTTTTTTTTTTTTTTTTTTTTTAGAAACAGGCTTTCACTCTGTCACTTTGACTGGAGTAAAGTGCTGCAATCATGGCTCACTGTAACCTTGACTTCCCAGGCCCAAGTGATCCTCTCACCTCAGCCTCCTGAATAGCTGTGACCACAGGCATGTGCCACCATGCCCAGCTAATTTTTGCATTTTCTTGTAGAGACAAAGTCTTGCTGTGTTGGCCAGGCTGGTCTTGAACTTTTGGCCTCAAGTGATCTGCCAGCCTCAGCCTCCCAAAATACTGGGATTACAGGTGTGGCCCACTACGCCTGGCTGGGCACCTTTCTTCTCTGCCACTGTGCCTGGTTCCTTTTTGCTGTAACAGATCATAGCTGTGAGTATGACTCTATGCTGTCCTGTGAGTCCTCTTACTGAAACACCTGAGAGTGAACTTGAGGATCCCCGGACGTGAGGGGATATTAATTCTATTTACCTCTAGGTTGTTATAAGGATTAAATTAAATAATATATATAAAAATACGTAAAACACTTAGTGACTCGCATATAATAGGTGCTCCATAGAAAGTTAGCTGCCACTATGCTTTGTTTTTTGTTGTTTGTCTTTTCTGAGATGAAGTTTTGATCTTGTCGCCCAGCCTGGAGTGTAGTTGTGCGATCTCAGCTCACTGCAACCACCATCTCCCTGGTTCAAGCAATTCTCCTGCCTCAGCCTCCCAAGTAGCTGGGATTGCAGGCATGTGCTACCACGGCGAGCTAATTTTGTATTTTTAGTAGAGATAGGGTTTCACTATGTTGGTCAGGCTGGTCTCAAACTCCTGATCTCAAGTGATCCACTTGCCTCGGCCTCCCAAAGTGCTGGGATTACAGGCATGAGCCATTGTGCCTGGTGATTAGTTTTATTTTTAGGAATATTAGAGGCCAGGCACAGTGGCTCATGCCTGTAATCCCAGCACTTTGAGAGGCCACAGTGGTTTGATTCCAGCCTGGGCAACATGGCAAAACCCCGTCTTTATAAAAAACACACAAAAAATTAGCCGGCGGCAGTGGTGAATGTCTGTAGTCCTGCCTGGGAGGCTGAGGTAGGAAGACCTCAAGCCCCAGAGGCAGAGATTGCAGTGAGCCAAGATCATGCCATTGCACTGTAGCCTAGGTAACAGAGCGAGACCTTGTCTAAAAAAAAAAAAAAAAAAAAGGAAGAAGAAGGCCGGGCACAGTGGCTCACACCTGCAATCCCAGTACTTTTGGAGGCCAAGGTGGGCAGATTACCTGAGGTCAGGAGTTTGAGACCAGCCTGGCCAACATGGTGAAACCCCATCTTTACTAAAGAAACAAAAATTATCCAGGCATGATAGCACGCACTGTAATCCCAGCTAGTCTGGAGACTGAGGCAGGAGAATCGCTTGAACCTGGGAGGTGAATATTTCCTTGAGCCGAGATTGTGCCATTGCACTCCAGCCTGGGCAAGAACAAAACTCTGTATCCAAAAAAAAAAAAAAAAAAGGAACATTTGTCTTGATTTTGGGGGAGGCTGGGCAGATTGGGAGCGCAGTGGCCCAGATGTCCTGGCTTAGCTGGTGTCCCCCATTTCCTGCCAGAGGACATATCAGTGGTGTTCAGCACGGCCTCCTGGGAAGGTCGGGCTGACTTCTCCCAGGCCGACGTGCACCGCCAGATCGCCATTGTGTTCAAGACGCCGCCCTACGAGGACCTGGAGATTGTCGAGCCAGTGACAGTCAACGTCTTCCTGCAGCGGCTCACCGATGGGGTCTGCAGCGAGCCATTGCCTTTCACGTACCTGCCTCGGGACCATGGTAACTACAGCAGCCCAGGGCGACCCGCCACCTCGGGGACTAGGTCTTCGGCCTTGGGGTGGCCTCAGTGGGGATGGGAAGGAGGCCACAACTAGAGTGCAGGCTCAGAGCTACAAAGACAGTGTTCAGATCCCGGCTCTGCTGCTTACTGGCTGTGTGGCCTTGGCCTCTCTAAGCCTCATTCTCCTGTGCAAAATGGAAATAATAGTAGCTGTCCCCTGGCATTTGAAAAGTGTTTAATCTTTCACCCTCTCAGCATCCTGCACACGCCTGACCCTTTTCTCGGTAGTGCTAGAGACACAGTGGTGACCAACACAGCCCCTAGCTGTGTCCTCATGAGGCGTATAGTCCTGAGAAGGGGGACAGCCTGATCCCCCACAATAGTGATCAGAGTGGGCAGGACTGGAATGAAGTGCTCAAGGGCTTGCATTGCCCAAAGACGGCACCTGACCTAGCTGGGTGGGGGGTCAGGGAAGGCTTCCTGGAGGAGGGGACAGCTGAGCTGAGGGCAGGAGGATGACTAAGCAGGGAAGTTCTTTAGGGAGTGTTTGAAACAGCTGGAACAGCAGGTGCAAAGATCCTGAGGCTGGTTTGTGCCTGGGGTGCTCCAGGAACAACAGAGAGGCCAGTGTGTAGGCCGGGCGAGGTGGCTCACACCTGTAATCCCAGCACTTTGGGCGGCCGATGCGGGCAGATTACTTGAGGTCACAAGTTCGAGACCAGCCTGGCCAACATGACAAAACCCTGGCTCTACTAAAATTACAAAAATTAGCCAGGCATGGTGGCGCATACATGTAGTAATCCCAGCTAGTCGTGAGGCTGAGACAGAGAATCACTTGAACCCGGGAGGTGGAGGTTATGGTGAGCCAAGATGGCGCCACTGCCACTCCAGCCTGGGCAGGACTCCACCATTTTTTTTTGGAGACAGAGTCTTATTCTGTCACCCAGGCACGATCTTGGCTCACTGCAACCTCTGCCTCCCAAGTTCAAGTGATTCTCCTGCCTCAGCCTCCCGAGCAGCTGGGACGACGGGTGCCTGCCACCATACCCAGCTAATTTTTGTATTTTTAGTAGAGACCGGGTTTTGTCATGTTGGTCAGGCTGGTCTCGAACTCCCGACCTCAGGTGATCTGCCCGCCTTGGTCTCCCAAAGCATTCTGATTGCAGGCGTGAGCCACTGCTCCCGGCCAAGACTCCATTAAAAAAATAACAGGCCAGGCTCAGTGGCTTACGCCTGTAATCCCAGCACTTTGGGAGGCCAAGGTGGGTGGATCACTCGAGGTCAGGAGTTCAAGGCCAGCCTGGCTGACATATAGTGAAACCCCATCTCTACTAAGAAAAACACAAAAATTAGCCGGATAGCCGGGTGCGGTGGCTCAAGCCTGTAATCCCAGCACTTTGGGAGGCCGAGGCAGGTGGATCACGAGGTCAAGAGATCGAGACCATCCTGGTCAACATGGTGAAACCCCGTCTCTACTAAAAATACAAAACATTAGCTGGGCATGGTGGTGCGTGCCTGTAATCCCAGCTACTCAGGAGGCTGAGGCAGGAGAATTGCCTGAGCCCAGGAGGCGGAGGTTGCGGTGAGCCAAGATCGCGCCATTGCACTCCAGCCTGGGTAACAAGAGCGAAACTCCGTCTCAAAAAAAAAAAAAAAAAAAAAAATTAGCCAGATGTGGTGGCATACTCCTATAATCCCAGCTACTTGGGAAGCTGAGGCAGGAGAATCACTTGAACCAGAGAGGGGGACATTGCATTGAGCCAGACTGTGGCACTGCACTCCAGCCTGGTCAACAGAGCAAGACTCTGTCTCTAAAATAAAAAAATAAATAAATAAAGGAATTAATTATTACTGATGGGTTACTTCTTGTGTGTCCCTGGTATCTCCTCAACAGACAGCTATGGCGTGGACAAGAAGCGGAAACGGGGGATGCCCGACGTCCTTGGGGAGCTGAACAGCTCTGGTGTGTGGCCTCTGTCCCTGACTACCCGCATCCCCAGGTTCTGGGGAGGGGATGGCTGACCCCACTGCCCTGTCCCACCCCCGGCTGGGGAGGAAGGGCTGTCGGGGTCCAGGATTCCTCATCTCTGCCTTCCCTCAGACCCCCATGGCATCGAGAGCAAACGGCGGAAGAAAAAGCCGGCCTTCCTGGACCATTTCCTGCCCAGCCACGGCTCAGGTGGGTCTCGGCTACACATAAACCCGTGTCCCCTGGGTGGGCAGAGGGTAAGTGGCAGCCCTGCTTTTCTGGCCTCTTCAGGCCCTCCAGGAGCAGCCACAAGGTGAGTCCCTCAGCACTTAGCCAGGAACAGAGAGTGGAAAGCAAGGGTTCTGGAGACAGAATGGAAGTTCTGATCTCCTCGGGCCGTTTCCTTGCTGTGTGACCTTCCTTAAGTGGCTGTACCTCCCAGAGCCTCAGGGACTCCTTTGAAAAGGCTCAGTACATACTTATCTCAGTGGTGTTTTAA